TATCACTCGTCCTTAAAAAGTTGTTAACAAAAAATTCGAAAAAATAATGTTTTATTTCGGCTATATATAACAGAAACTGTTCTAAACTATATCCACCTGCTGTATTTCATCTCTCCCATTGCCTAGTAGCACGCGACTTTCCACTAGAATACAAGTTCACTGCTTTAGCAGAAAATTTGTAAATATGTAGTTTAGAGGAAAGTCATGGTTATATTATTATATACCCATGAGTGTATAATAACCTAACTCTAACCAAATCATATATCGTAAACTACGTATGCAGAGTAAAGCAGGAAAAAATTTTCTATTCTAAAAACAAAAATTATATTTAAAAAATATGAAAGTCATGTGCCCCCAAGCAGGGAGGGAAAGTGGGGTGGGAGTTGCTTCGCGTAGAAAGTTGAAAAATGTACTTTAAAGCAGAAAATTTCTGTTTTATATGGTGGAAAAAGATATTATATACGTTTTTTCTTAAACTTTTTTTGTTGGAGGTTACTCAGAGTCATGACAACATATGTCAAGGTCAAGATCATAGGAGGAAAGTCCCCTATTTGATATAATTACCAAAAAACCTAATAAATTACAATAAAATAAAAATAAATATAAGAAATACAAAGTCTAATAAGCAGCTGATTTCTGAGAAATCTAAAACAATGTCGATTGTTATGATGAAATAAATGTATATAAAATTTAAATTCAAATCTGTGTGGATATATAAATATAACAAATAAACAATTTAAAAAAGTTTTACATGCTCCTTTAATAATTATTCCGAAATTGATTGGCGTAGTCTTTCTCTATAATTGTTATTTGTTTATAATAATTAATTGTGTGCAAAATTGATCTTTGCAATGTACTTTTTATGTCAGAAATATTTTCTTTAGTAGCTAGTTCTATTTCCAATTATTATTTTTTGGCTTTTGTTCTGGATTAGACCTTTATAGGTTAAAAAAATTAAGAAAGTAAAAATAAATTTATTTTGAAATAAAATAATAAAATTATAACAAATTAATATGAACATTTTGATTTCACTAAATCTTTCTCAGTATAAAACAAAATGAAGAACATTCTAGTAAAATCATAAAATCAATAAAAGTGATTAAATTTACGTATTTTTTAATTTAACGATGTAATTATACATAACATTTCATTTAAACATTTCATTTCAAATTTTGTCGTACAATTTCATGTTATATTATAATATTATTACTATTATATTAAATTAATGATATAATTTTGATTGTTTGAAACTTCGAATCTTCGAAGCTTCGAAATTCGAATGTCAAAGTCTTCGAAGCAAATCGCTAGTCCTATTTTTTAATAAAATGATGAATTAATTTTTTCAGTAACGAGTGACTTTTCCATCTTTGATGTTACCATTACAGTTATAAAAAAATTCGTCATTTTGCCAAATCGTCGTTATTACAGAGTACAGATAACGTAAGTAATGGCGCTACAAGTAATTAATTACTTCTATTCCCTAAGATAAATTAAGATAGAAGGACATATCTTATGCTATCTTATACACATTCTATCTTAAGTATAGACAAAATAATATAGATCAAGATAGTATAGATAAAATAAGATAGAATAGATAAAATCGTAATTTTTTAAACTATTATAATCTCGTTTCTGAGAAAAGTCTATGGTAGGATTTGTGTGCAATTAATTAAAGAAGCCTCTGAGCCTTATCTGTCATTAAGTTATACGTGAAAAGTCACATTTTCAACATTTTTTCTCTCTTATTTCATCGTTAAGGCTCCTAAATAGTCAATCACAATCATATTGAATCATATTGAATGAAGCGAGAAATGACACGTTAATTTTTATTACGTGGCATTTATAAATAAAGACAATTTAGATAAAACAAAATGATAAAATTGCTTTAAAACATTTGTAAAAATGGACGAAGTGCTTTTATTCAATGCGCATGCATAGCTTATTTTCACTTACACGTGCCTTTTATCATTTTTCACAATTATTTACTGACTGTCAAGGGGGATAGTTTTCGTCCATTTTTACAAATATTTTAAAACAATCTCATTTTATTTTTTCAAATTCTTTATTTATAAATGGCATGTAATAAAAATTAACGTGTCATTTTTCGCTTCTGACGTCTCGATTCAATATGGCTGTGATGACTATTCAGAAGCCTTAATCTACCGTAGAATTTTGCATACGTCAATTTCGATATTTCATTTTATAAAAAAATTAAACATTTCTATGATAACTCCGATTTACTAAAGAACCTTAAGCAGATTTCTGAAAAATATGACGAACTAAACGTATGGTGTCCAATCTCTTACTTGGAGATACATCTTTATTGCAATGTAAATATATACAGCAAATGGCAGGGCACCAGCAAAATTGCTGTTACAAAATCAGTCAATAGATAACAATATAGTATTTAAGCAAATAAAATAGATAGAAAAATCTTGAGCGCCACATATCACATAATACATGAGACAAGTACATCATTGACATTATACTAACATTTACATTCACATTTATGATAAAATTACATATATGATTACATTTGCTTCACTGACAAGGGGAACACCAGGTGATGATTTCGGGAATCTTGATGCGCTTTTTACAGGCTGTTTTTGAGCGAAAAAAAAAACGTTACATGTCCGATCATTGACTCATAGTTTCGAAGAAATTGATTTTTTAAAATAATTATTGTAATAATTTGAAAAACGCACTATATTGGAAAATATCAATACTTTTTCAAAAAATTTTATTTTATTTCATTGAATATTAAAGATAAAATTACACCTGGGTGGATGATTTCTGAACCTCGGATGATGATTCTGAACACAACAAGTAGATCGCACGCCAGTCGAAATGTTGCTCATCTCAGTAAACATTCGACTCACTCACGCGCGCAACAATTCTCTTGAAGAAGTATTTCAATAAAATTTATCAGCATGGAAAACGATAGAAAATGTTTATGATGAAATCGCATATGCTAATAGAGTGGAAAATGCGATTATTGATGCTGAGCAAGACATCTTTGTCGCTCTCAAAACAAGATATAACTGATGATAATATTACAACTGGCTGAAAAAGTGCAAAGTTCCAAATTTTCTGAAAGAGCACAGATTACTGGAAAGAAAATTGCGGAATTTGTGACAGAAATGATTCGTGATTTTAATTTCAAAGATGAAGAATTACTTTTGACGGAAGAATGCATCACACAAGAAAGTATTAACATGACTACTTCTAATATTTCATCAATTTATTACACAGTATAAATATCAATTATTATAATTTACTAGAATACATAACTAGCGAAATAATTGCCAATATAATCCGTATGTTCAAATAATCTGTTCACAAAAATGTATATATTAGTGGAATTATTCACAATTAATACAAAATATATTTTATTAATTATTGAAAAATGAAATTAATTTCTTTAACGAATCATTGTGATGCATTCTTCTGTCAAAAGTAATTCTTCATGTTCTTCAAAATGAAAATCACGAATCATTTCTGCCACAAATTTCTAAATTTTTTTTCTAATAATCTCTGCTTTTTCGGAAAACTTTCCACTTCTTCAGCCAGTTATAGTACAAAATTTAACTACAAATTTTCAACCTATCAATTATATCTTGAGAGCGACAAAGATATTATTTTGTCTTACTCAGCAATAATCGCAATTTCCACTCTATTAGCATATGCGATTTTATCATGAACATTTCCATCATTTTTCATGCTGGTAAATTTTATTGAAATACTTCTTTAGTTTAGAGAATCGCGTGCGTGCGTGAGTACGTCAAATGCTTACTGAAGTGAGCACCATTTTGACTGGCGCGCGATTTATTTATTGCGTGCAGAATCATCATCTGAGATTCAGAATCATCCAGATGTAATTTTATCCTTAAAATTCGGTAAAATAAAATGAAATTTATAAAGATATTGATATTTTCCAATACATTATGTTTTTTAAATTATTACAATAATTAATTAAAAAATCAATTTCTTCGAAACTGGGAGCCAATGGCCTGAAGTGGCCGGACACGTATCGTTTTTTTTTTTCGCTCAAGAAGCCCGTAAAAAGCGCATCAAAATCCTCGACTGATGCTCCCCTTGTAAGTTAAAAATAATACCATGTATGCATTTGCGCGGATATCAAATTCGCAAGAGATGAAAAGCAATCAGTGATATCGATCGAATCACAAAGATGTGAAAGATACAATGTAATCAGCAACAGTCGAGCGAAAAAAGCCAGAGAAGGGGAATTTGTAACGTGTGGAGGGAGCATATTGTAAAACTTAACTGAAGTACAAAGAAAGGACTGGAATTTAGCAGAGATGACAGAGAATGGATAAGTTATTTTAATGACGAGTGTCAGGAGGATCAGAGGAGTGAAGCTCTGAACTAAAATGCAGAAGGTTACATAAATAGGAAGGAGTACTGATCCTAAGAATACAGAAAGTAAGACAACACAAGTGAAGAACGAAACCCTGGCGAATTTTAAGCCATCCAGAGCTTAAGAACAAAGGAGTTATATGATCGAATTTACGAACACAATATGAAAAACAAAGACAGAAGCTCTGAATGTATTGGATGCGATTGAGTAGTTGCAGACTGAGAACAGGAACGTATACCACATCGGCATAGTCAAACAATGAAATAACCAGATGATTGAGAGACATGGAGCTTTTGTGAAGTAGAGAGAATATGGCGAAAGGGATAGTGGAGGCGAAGTCAAGAGTAAGCGGCCGTTCATTTGGTGGTCACATACGATTCGAAAGATCATGAAGAGTTTAAATGAACGCCTAGGATTCTAATGGAGGAGAAGCAAAGAATTGAAATTGAATTAATATTGACATTAAAGGAATCAACACGAGATAGTACATATACAGATGTGATCCGACGATGAGCAGGAAAGATTTGGAGGGATTTAGGGCATTAGAAAAGGCCCATGTAGTCTCTAGATAGAATCATTTGATATTAGAAACAAAGTATTAAATAACAAAATATAAGCTCACCGTGTATGCGATAACGGCAATTATTGCATTAGTACCCATCGCAAAATCGTCCATATTAATATTATCGTAATGTACCGGCCTAAAGAGTGGAGTGGCAGGTGTTTGCAGCCTGTACATTTTCGTTTGTGACTGCTGTTGCCAATTATGGCACGGTGTAGCCATTGTTTGTTTACCCATCTGTGAAGTTATTGAAAAATTTATATATTTCAATCATTGTGCTATTAAAATGCATTTACAGTCTGCAAAATTCAGATGCGATTCGAAAGTTTTAATTTTAGGATTATTATATTATTAGTAATAATTTTCAGAAGAAAAAGAAGAAAATCAATGTAAGCCAGCCACAGGTTGTCCATGTGTAAGAATTCCGTATATTTGAAGTGAAATAAAAATTACAGACGTTTCGACCCTTATTATTGGGTTATCTTCAATGTAAATTTGAAACAAATTCATCCGTTAATATAACTGTTGTTTCGCGGGTTTTCTCCGTGTCTAAATCCATTCTTAGAATGCCAACGTTTCGTGAGCCTTGCAGTCCACTTCATCAGAGTGAGGAGCAGCCTAATACTGAGCTGTTCCTTTGAGCCGTTCCCTTTATATTATCCTGCTTGGAGTGATGGGGTAGAAAAATTGTGGGTAGAAAAACGAAAAACTCCCCTTCCTAGATGTTCTTGATACTGTAGGTATCAAGTTGAGGCTGCTCCTCGAAACATTGGCATTCCAAGAATGGATCCAGACACGGAGAAAACCCGCGAAACACACAACAATTATATAAAAAGCATCCATGGAAGTTTCAAGGATATCATCCGTTAATAATTAAAAAATGTATACAATCGGTTAATACATAGGTCAAACGAAACGATTATTAAAAGCTAGATTATCTGAACATCGTAATCACATCAATAGACGTATTAATCAACACTCTGTTATTATGAAGATTACATAGATTGAAACTCAATCATGAATTTGATTGAAACAACATTAGAATTTTGAATAAAGAAAAACCTATAATAAGCAATCAATCTCAGAGTCAATTTACATTAAAAAAATAAAAAATGGATTAAATTTTTTAAACAGAAGGATACTGTTGAATTCTTTATAATTATTTTAAAAAAGACTAATTTTTTTAAGTTTTAATAGATAATGTTTTAGACTCAGTTCTTGTAATTTTATTTACATTAAAATAAACAATAACGGATTCCTGATAAATCGAATTACATGAAAATATATAGACACATAAAAATCAGGTGCTGATATCGGTGCGCAAAGAAATTATACATGCAGTTAATAAAAAATGATATATAATCTAAATATAAAAGTAAATAGTTTACAAAAGATAACATGTTTCGGCTGCAGCTTTGAGTCCTCTTTAGATCATATAATAAATAAACGCGTTAAAATATAGTCAAATACGTGTAGATATATTGTTCCTGTATATGATCGATGTATCGTTTGCAAGAAGTTGACTGATCGAGTGAAAAAGGACCAACATATAAGGGCTTAGAGCTAGAACCGAAACATGTTATCCTTGTAAACTATTTACTTTTATATTTAGATTTTATATAACTTTATTAATTGCACATAGACGTATCCAGGAGGGTAGTTTTGGGAGTTCAAATCTCACTCTCCCCGAAATTTTTTATTAATTATTTCATTTTGAAAAGGTCCCGTTAGCACACATCACGATAGCACACATCTATTTATATCGGTGTCTAATAATTTTTCACTGCTTTACTAATAAGAATATTTTATTTTGAATTGACGATGTACAGCCAGTCATAGAAAGGTTGCAACACTTCTTTTTTGATGAGTTTCGGAACTCAGTTTTGCTCATAGAGCGGTTGAACGTAAATGATTAGATCCATAAGTAAGAATCAATCGCTCGTAAATGATTAGATCCATAAGTAAGAATCGGTGAGCGCTGAGTGAAACTGTACTCCAAAATCCATCGAAAAAAAAATATTGCAACCTTTCTGTGAGCGGCTGTACATACCATATCGAACTCCTCTCTTTCATTTTTAAATGTAAAAAACATATACCTTTTGATTTTGTGTCAGTTTTTTGCTGTTACATAAAATATTTTTTTCTTTTCGTTGTAAGACTATATAAGTAATTTTTAATACTTTTGTTCGTTCGAGCTTTGATAAAATATGCAATATGTATAGGGAAAATTTTCGTAAAGTTTTTGTCCCACGCGAAAAACAGAACATACGCTATAATTGATACATCCTTGTAATAACTGTATTATCCTTCTTAAAACAAAATTCTTTAAAAAAAAAAAATAAAAATTATATGATGTACAAAACATTTTTCCTCTTCAAAGTGAGGTACGAAGAGATATTAAAAGTTATAAAAATATTCAAATTTCAAATGAAATTCATTAATATTAAAAATTATAATCATATTTACAAATATTAATGTTTGTAAATTACAACAAAATTGATGCAGTTCTTTTCAGTTACAATAGCAAATATTTTTTTTTGTCATTCCGATTGGTGCATGGTACATTCCTGGATTGATTGAATCCCTTCCTTTCCGAAAAAAAAATTCCATGATACGCCCATGTAATTACATATATAATTTCTTTGCGCACCGATACCCGCGCTTGGTTCTTATATGCTTACATATTTTCGTGTTTATTTACATTCTGTTTGTATTCTTTTATCCTACTTAATAATAATTTCATTTGATCTCTCACACTCTCCCGTAGTCTTACTACATAGGTCAGTCATCAGAGGTTGAAAAAGGAAGAAATTATTTACAGATATTTTATTGTTTTAATCGAGTTTGAGATATAAAAAGACTAAATTTAAAAGTGCTACAACATTAAGCGGAGCACTTGGAAGTAATTAAGCAATAAAGTTTTTTTTTTATCAAAACTCGAAAAGAGAAAAATGAAAAGAATATATAAAAATGACAGTTTTTTTATTGCTGCTGAAATGTCCTACAAAATGAATTTTTAACGAGTTTTGTACTATGAATAGAACCAAACATAGATTTTGGAAATACAGCGATTTGAAAATGAGTGAAATTTCTTGAAAAAACAGCAAAGATAGATACTTTTTCAGTTATTGCCTTCTACGTTTTGAGTGCATTGGAGAGTGACATAAGATAATTTAAAGTAGACATCTTACTGAAAAAAATGAATTTAAATTGAACTCAATACTATTGATACTTCCAGAGATATCGAGCTTCAAAATAGTAGCTTTTTTCACAAAATTTGTCCATTTTGTATATTATCATATTTGAAGTGTTTTTTTTCGTATATATAATAAATTAATAATTAACAAATCTAACATTAATAAAATAAAAATAAATTATTTTACATCACAACGACACAATGTAATACTAAGAATGATCGCTTTACCTACTTTGGAGCTCGATATCTTTGGAAATATCAATCATATTAAGTTCAATTTAAGTTCATTTTTTTCGAAAAAATGTCTACTTTAAATTATCTTATGTCACTTTTTATTCTCCGACGCACTCAAAATAGAAGGCAATAATTGAAAAAAATTCCTATTTTTGCTGTTTTTAAGAAATTTCACTCATCTTCAAACCGCTGTATCTCTGGTTCTATTCATAATACAAAGCTCGTTAAAAACTCATTTTGTAAGAAATTTCAGCAGCAATAAAAAAGTTTTTTTGTCATTTTTCGATATCTCTTTTTGTTTTCGAGTTTTAATCAAAAAAACCAAAAAAAATCTTTATTACTTAATTACTTCCAAGTGGCCCCTTAATGTAGCACTTTTAAATTTAATCTTTTTATATCTCAATCTGTCAAGCAAAACAATAAAATACCTGTAAATAATTTCTTCCTTTTTCACTGCCATTTTCATTTCTGAGGACTGGCCTAGTAAGCATGTTCGCAATAACATCATCGTCAATATATGTAACATAAATTTTATCCAAAGATTTTAATGACATTTTGATTAGTACTTTAAGGTTTTTATTATATTATTTTATATTTAATATATTACAGGTAATTAAAAATGTACTTTAAAGATTATGCGTTATGGGTTTTCTCCGTGTCCAGATCCATTCTTGAAATGTCAACGTTTCGTGAACCTTGCAATCCAGTTCATCAAGGCGAGGAGTAGCCTGATACTGAGCTGTTCCTTTGGGCCGTTCCCTTTATATTATCCTGCTTGTTCGAGTGATGGGGTAGGAAAATTGTGGGTAGGAAAACGGAAAACTCCCCTTCCTAGATGTTCTTGTCTCTAAGGCCCGATTGCATCAACGTTTGACTTTAAGTGAAACTTAAAACTCTCTCTGTCTCGTTTTAAAGCGAAAAAGAGACAGAGTTTTAAACCTCACTTAAAATCAAAGTAACATGCAATCAGGCTTAAGAAAGCTGACGGTACCTTAGGTCTCAATATGTCCAATGAATATATCTAACATTCGAATAAATGAATAAAAAATGAATGAAAATACTCATTCGAATTATTATTTCTTTTTTATTCGTTAAGAAACAAATAAATATTTTTTCATTCCATTTGAATGAATATTTTTTTAATATACGAATATTTTCATTTCGTATTCACTTTTACTCTGTACTATCTGCATATAGCTTGTAAGCCTACAAGAGAAAACAGAAATCTATAAAAACAATGACTACGATCATACCGTGCGCTTAGTTCGCGACTTATACGATAGGCGTCCTTGATTAATCTATAGATTAAACAAAGACATTTTTATTAAGAATAAATAATATATCTCGGAATTTAATGTCCACAACCATAATAAACATCGCCAAAATCCTATAAAATATTTATAACATTACTGTCATATAATCAGAATTATATGTATGGCACTCTAGCAAATAGATTTATAAATAAAAAATGTATTATATATCTTTCTAAAATATTTTTCAAAATTTCTAAGTTTTCTTTATAAAATCTGAATATTACAATGACACACAAAAATAAATAAAATTCATTTTTTTTACTTAAAATCATCAAAGTACCGATTATAGTTAAGAGATAACGATTGCTTATTGGAGCTTTCTTTTTTATATAATATTTTGTTTGAATATGAATACTCGCTAAATATTCATAGTTTTTTGTGAATGAATATTTTTTGAAAACTCAACATTTTAATAAATATATGATTACATATTTTTTTTATGTAAAAATTTTGAATAAATACAATTTGGAGCTCAATTACAAATTTTTATATTCATCGGGCATACTATTAAGCCATCAAGTGTACAGAAAACCAATACATAGATAAATATCTACATGCCATTACCCAGCACAAAAACAGTCAGCAGTCAACTCACTTATATATAGAGCTTTCACTATCTCTTACAAAGAAAGAACATCTACAGACAGAACTCAATTACCTAAACCTAGCCTTACAGAAAAACGGACACGACAAAAAAGATATAACCAAAATAATCAATAAACATGCAAACAAGAAAACGGACTCTGACACACATCCAGACGAAAGGATCCTATCTATTCTTCCATATGTCAAAGGAACAACAGATTGGCAGGATATTACACAATATTAGAACAAACACAATAGCAGAACTAGCTTCAAATCACCCAAAAATAGGACAAATCTTAAAAAATCCTAAAGATCAAAGATCTCCACTAAGCTCCGCAGGAGTATACAAAATACCTTGTTCCTGCGAGCAAGTATATACGTTGAAGAAACCGGGAGAATGGTCAATCTACAGATAAAAGAACCAATGTGATGTCAAGCTAAAACACGCCATACAGTCGCCTTATCAGAACACAACATCGAAACAGGACATAAAATACTGTTTAACAAAACGACCACAATAGCCATTACATCATACTTTCCAAGAAAGTATAGAGAAGCATAGAGATACAAAAATACCCTAACAATCTAAAGACAGATAATGGTTACAACATAAATAAAAATATGGAAGATCATCTTCTCCTGGTTATTGAAGACCGATCGATTTCCTCCACTTCCCCTTATCCCTATCCACAATCCTCTCCCCCCTCGCCTCCATCACTCGACAAGTAATATAATATAAAGGAAACGGCCCAGAAGAACAACTCAATATCAGGCTGCTTCTCGCCCTGATGGACTGCAAGGTTCACGAAACGTTTGCATTTCAAGAATGGATCTGAACACGAAAAAAAAACATGAAACGCATAATCTTTATATAGAAAGCACCCAAGCTTCAAGAATATTAAAAATGTATGTTGAATATTCGGTTAAATACAACAGACAACTTTTAAATTTTAATTATTTAAATATTGACATTAAATATAATATTAAGACTGTATACACTTTTTAATTATTCACGGATGAATTTGTTTCAAATCTACAATTGAAGATGACTCAATCATAAGGATCGAAACGTCTATAATTTTTATTTAACTTCAAATATACGAAATTCTTACATACGAGCAACCTGTAGCTGGCTTACATTGGCTTTCTACTTTTTTGCGATTTATCTTTGGAGCCTTCAATAAAGATTAAGAATTATTAGTAACACTCAAATAAGTAAGTAGTATTCATATCCGCAAATACAGACAGTAAAATATATTAATTGAAATATATTAATAATCTCAATATATAGGAGAAATCGGGACGCCATAAGTCACGGAGTACTATCATCGATTGTTTAACATAGAATCTAGAACGTTTAAATTAATACTACTGGTGCAATACAATTGTTACTTCATTGCCCATGCTTTTTATCTAGGTGGCAGCGATTAAATTCCATTATATTGAAAAGCATCGATCATTAATGGTTTTCGTGGTGCAATAGTAACTTTTTATCGTATAAAAATGTTTTAATATTGTTTTTGTATTAGAAGATACATGTATGAAGATAAAGTGCAAGTTTCTGCGCATCTTTTCTCAACTTACTAAGTTGCAAATAATAATCTAACATTTATTTTTTATAGTTTTCTATTAAATGTATAATTAAATGCATAATTTGGGTACCATGGATTATACATTAAATATTCATGATAATATGGGATAATATAGAAAGTATATGTACTAGGACAGTATATGTAAAAGAACAGCTTATATTTCTAAGCAATTAATTTTACTTTATCAAAATAAATTTTTTATCTTATATTGGTTATTTCTTATTTTTATTATTTTCTTATAACTTTCTATTTTATTATTTAATAATTAGAGGAAAGCCCCTTATTATAGGTAGGCGCCTAATATGAGGTAGAGGCGTTTTCGCAAAACTATTATAATAAACGTTATCTATTGGTTCATGAATTTATTTTATATTATTATTCTTTGATTGAAAACTGTTTAGTGAAAAATTCATTATTAGATCATGCCTGTAGTCGTTGCAAAAAACAGATTTTAGAATTTGGATGTCTTCAAGTTTCTTTGAGATGAGCTTTTAAACCTTGTTTATTATTTAATAAGTAAATATTTGGCAATAAATTCTTCATGTGGTGATAGAGTAAAATCGTTCTAATAGAAAAATACGTGATATGTTTGAATTGCTTAATTACAGAAATTATATTTGATGATCATAAAACCATAAGGCGTGGAAATCATAATATGAGATACCCCGGGTATTTCTAATATGAAATAACCTTTGCTTCTATGTCATAGTGAAAATCGTTGCTAAAATATAAATGTTATTGTATAATAATAAAAAGGACAATCGGAATAAACATCGAGTGCCTGTTTCTGCAATGCTTAGTTCCAATTACCTGAAGACGAGTCAGCTAAGTACAATGCATCGCATACTCATTTTGTACGCGCACTGGCTGTGTTTATTTATATTTCAGAAACATTAAATAAAGTTTTTTAATTGCAATACTGATGTATTGATGCAATACTTTGCGTTTTATTATCGATTTCTTGAAACATCTCATATTAGGAGCACAATTTTTTGACTTTGCGATTTGCTCACTTTTTACATTTCTTTAATTTATAAAAAAAATAAAATTTGAATTAAATTTTAACATTATCTTAAAGCTTATTAAATTCCCTTCAAAATGAAAACCTATTATTTTTTAAAATTCTGCCTATATAGATTTTTGGCATTTATCCAAAATGAACTCGGTATTTCATAATAGGAACCTTTCCTCTACTAGTTGTAATTATATTTTATTGTATTAGTGACTATGCTAAGAATGTGTAAGTTAATTGAAACTACTGTTACTTTTCAACTTTCGTCATCATTATTTCTGCATAATCTTACTGTTTTGTGTGTGACTTATAGCCCCGGGTATGGGGCACCATGGATCATTTTTTTAAAAATGTTTTTATTTTTTTCTTAAAAACTAATATTTACTAAATATATACTTATTAAATTTTGAAATATGCATTATGCTTTAATTATTAAAAAAAAATTATACAAAAATGTTTATATTTAGATGCACTTTTAAGAGTTTAAGTTTTTATGATTCATGGTACCCCGGTCTCCTATATGGATTTACCTGGCACTGATACATATTTCTCGGACTCTGGTTGCAATCCGGCAAAGGAATAAGATTAGCTAAATTGCTGAAAATTGTTGTTTGGCTTATTTCTTGATGAGTTGTTAACTAGTAAGAAAAAATAAAATTATCACGTTACATAGAGATTAAAAACTTACATAAATATAAAATTGTGTATACACAAAAATTATGTATACACACTCTTTAAATTTCTTGGTGAAATGTCATTTCAAAAGAGTTGAAATATTATCACTATTGAAAAAGAGTAAAAAATATGCACTTTTGAATATGAATAACAGATTTTTATTCGGTTTTGACATAAGATTTCATACTTTTGGAGTAAGATTTACTCCAAAAAGGAAGTGATATTTTTTTTCCTTTGGAATAAATCTCACAAAAAAAAAAAGAGTGAAAGTCTGCTGCTCTTATTCAAAAGTGCAAATTTTTTCACTCTTTTCCAATAGTGATAATAATTTAAGTTTTTTTAAATAAGAGACTTCAAGAAATTTAGAGAGCAAATATAAAATTGTGTATATACTTACTCCTTCATATGCTTCTTGAGGGTTCACACAAATTTCCATGTAAATTTGCTCAAACGTTCCTATAAGTTCAATCTTCTGCATAGCTAAATTTATTACTGGTCTCATCATTCTAGCAGCATTAGTAAATAAGAATAATCCCGGATACTGAGCTGGAACATTTTTCTTTGGCACAAATGCAATCTCCAATGTTGACGGTATCTAAAGAAAAAATATTTCAGATACCCAATGGTTATAAATCAAACCAGTGGCGCGATTCCGTAACTGTCTTTACATGCCTATCGACAATTGTTGGTGTCGTTGCGCAGATATTTTATATGGTGAAAAAGTTGCACAACGACGCCGGAATCGCGCCCTAGGAAGCATTACGTTGATAACTCACTTCTCGACTCTTTATTTTAAGCAATCTCAGTTTGTATACTACTTTATTAATAATTTTGTCCTCAATCAATCCAATTAATTTTCCATCTAACATTACATTATACGAATTTTTCCAATCATCCGCGATAGATAACGGAATCATTCCAAGATCTACTAATACTGCAGGTATCGCGGCTTTCAGTTTTGGATCTGCATGTTTTGTGATGATACAATTCATTGTCAAGTGATTGAGTAATCCGCATGGAGCACCATCCGGTGTATGAATCGGACAAATAAATCCTATAAACAGATCATAATTATTTAGTTTAATATATGTATATTAAAAATCTTGATAAGCTGAAATATACAGAGTGTACTAAACCATTATGGGAGCTGGTAGAGTGGATTAAATTATTGTAAAATTACACTAAAGTTTGTAATTACCCCATGCATCAGGCAACAATTGTCTTGCTTCAGTAGTCCTCATTTCTTGGAAGAATGCGCCTCTATGTATCGCGCGAAAATGACTCATATAACGCATCCGATTGATATTTTCCACAACAATTGTAAGACCAGTGGTTTGCATGAGTCCCAGGCCACTAGATGACCTTACACTTCCAGTAGATAAAAAATATTCCATTTGTGAGTCAATGTTGCTTCGAAATTTAGTGACGTTCAACATTTCCTCTGAATAAATATTTCAAAAAAATTAGTTAAATATATTTGGTTTAATTTTTTCATAACATCAACAATACAAATAAAATACTTACGTATACTTAAGGAGTATCTATTACCAGCACTCTTGTCACGTTTGAGAATATGATGTTTAAGTCCTACTAGCCACGAATATAATTTCTCTTTAAGAACTTGGAGATACAAATGTCCACCTAATAAACACTCTTGCATCATTACAGCGTCCGCACCTTCAACGGCGCATTTATTATTCGCAAGAGTGAACAGTTTTTTAGTCATAAAAACAAGTAAATGGAACTTATCGATAGGTTCATCAAGATGAATAGAGATACAATATCTATGACAAAATGTAATAATATAGAGAACACATAACACAACAAGAAAAATTAATAAGATCCAAACTTACTTAATGATGTAATCACAAACATCTATATCAGTCGCATCTGTAGGCAATTCGGAGAATTTGACTTTAAACATCTTTCCTATGTAAGCTTTACATTGTTCATGCCAGTGTAGACCTTCTTCATGCACTGCACGTAACATATTTATGATACTGTTATTGTAATAAAGATCATCTTCGCATCCAGCGATTAATGCTTTGTAAATATATAAATCAGTTACGTCTATCAAACATTTTAATATCAATATTAATGGCACAAAATATGTAGCTTTCTTATATGTAAATGCAAGTTTTGCAGACCCATCTGTCACAAAGTGCAGTGTATTGTTCTGTAAAGATATATACTGGTAACATATGACATGTGAGAAGACAAAAAAAAATAATGTAAACAAATTCTATTCAGATATATACAATGGAAGAGTTGTCCTCCCGAACACTTCGCAGAAGAATACCCAACTCACTGAAATGGTCACCACGACCTTTCCAAGTTGGTCTCTTGACAGCAATGGGATAGTTTCGTCTCGTCATTATTAACATACGTATAAGTCGCTCTAAACCTCTGATTATGAAGTATCCACCCCATTCTTGTTCATGTTCACCATGAGCGATTAATTCTTCGGGGTTCATATTGTTCAAGTTACATCGATTAGACTAAAAAATATCGTATTTTTGTAAAAAGAGAGAGAGAGAGAGAGAGAGAGAGAGAGAGAGAATCATAATTTAAATAAAAATATTTACTCAAAATGCAATCATATAAAATAGTAAGTGCTGAAGGCTCAACAAATGATGACAGTCAGATTATTATATTTAGTTTTTACCTTGACCATGATTGGAACTTCTCCTAAATCTTTTTCAAGAGGTTCTTGCTCTTTACCATTGACAGACCACCCGAGTCTTGCTATTATTTTACCCTTGTAAGTAGAACCTCTTTGTCGACATTCTGTCGGATATATTTTACATGTTTTCACACCAATTGTACTAGAAGGAATAGTGGGCTTATAGATATGTACATCATCCATCCAAAGAACTACCTTGTCACTGTTAGTAAGAGTTAAATATACTGGTGTACAATCTTTTAAACTGTAAAAAAGGCCATCCTCCAGCATATAATTAAAGGAATCAATATGAGGCACACCTAGAGATTGCAATAGCTGAAACAAATAAATTGATTGATATAATGTTCTGCTCTAAAAGTATCTTATCAAGGCATTTTTCTTATAATAAGCATTGAATTCTATAGCTTTTCTTTTCAACAATAAGTACAGATTGTATTCTAATATCTTGATATAAATTCATAAATATATCCAAATAAAGATGAAAATATTAAACATTAATAATAACATATTTTTAGGAAAAATTTTATTAACACGTCAGACTTAAAATTTATTATTTCTGCTTTTATTAATGTAACATAATATAATTAATTTAATATACGACAATAGATCTATTTTTTTATTCCTGCAATGAAACTTCCTTTCTCATTAAACTTTTTTCACTTTCGTCAAATATTAAACATGTATACAGGGTATCCTGTAATTCACCCAACAACGCTCGTGAATAGGTAGAGCTAACTAAACTGAGTCGAAAAGTCTTCTAGCATTTTGCAGTTTTCATAATAGTTAACAAGATATTAATTACTAAAAATTGTCGAATATTAGTCTTCAATAATTTTATTCTCAAATACTATCAACTTACAGAAAAACTGTAAGAAACAAAAATTGTTTATTTCTTCTCATAAAGTTCTGAGAATTTTTTCAGAATTTTTTTATCAATTTTTTTGAGGCCAACCGCCGCGTTTTTTTGGCCAGATTCTTTCGTTTTGAGTGAAAATACATCGAATAAATGTATTTTTATTAAGATTTAATAAAATCTTAATAAGTAGAGGGGGGAGGGGGGATTATTCTAAATAATTACCCAGACTTTTTATTAATCTTTTAATATTAGTAGACATTATTTTATATAACTTTATTTTATGAAAAACATATAAGAGAAGATATTTCAAGTCACGTTATATATACATATATTGATCCATGTACAGAACACGTACTTTCCATTTATACTCAAATTAATGAGTTCACTACTTGCTTACTTTGGCAAAAAGTTATCATATATCAACATAGATTCATAATCTTATTTTGAAGTGAGTTTATGAGACTCACTGAGGCCCAATTGCATCAACATTATTTTGATTTTAAGCAACACTTAAAACTCTTTCTGTCTCTGTCTCTTTTTGGCTTTAAAACAAGATAGTTTTAAGTCTCGCTTAAAATCAAAGTGATTAGTGCAAAACTCATAGCAAATTCGGTGATTTGCACTACACTAGATCAGTGCTAAAAGCTACTTTGAAATTAGCAAAATTAAATATAAAAGTATATAAATATTTTAAACGATTAACTATCTACTAATGATATTGTCATTATTTGACAAAATATTTATATATATATAATTATATATATAATTTAACAAAATATGTGTATCATTTCATTGTCAAAGTTGATTATATTGTATCACTGCATTGAGATAGTTTACATAAAGCAGCTTTTAATATGCACTGATCCAGTGTAATGCAAGTAATCGAATTCACCATCAGTTAAATCTCAATTGTCAGAATGCAAAAGAAACGAGCATTCAAATGAGTTATAACGTAAGTGAGAATTATCACAAGTGAGAATCGATGTAAATGGAAAGCAACTTTTATTTCTGAAATTCTATAATATGAAATTCTATAACATAAATTATAGCATGTTAGCGCGCTATATCGTTATGGAGCGTTCTGAATATGGGCTATTAACTCTAACGTCTATAACTTACATATCAATTTGAACGTACTAACCTCATTCTGTTTGTCAGGCGGTTTGCCGAAATTCGGCGATGTGTTCGTCAATTTTGGTTCAATCAACATATTTAACAAACCCGTTACGAACTACAGATTACGGTTTCTTCCAAAAATACTCTACTTTCATTTACAAACGTAACCGTCGTATTCTTAAAATTTTCAATTTTTGAAAAACATTATGTAAACGACATAACCAAAGAGATAGACAAGGACTGCGTTCGGAAATATACACTAGTGTGCCACTAAAAGCTTAAACACAATAGGCACAGGCAACAGAGAATAACGAGTTGTCCAATCAGAGCTCTAATGTATAAATTTGATATTATTGTATTGTATTGTATTGGGTCATCTAAAAAGTATCCGCGGTACTTTGTCACTAGATATACGACCATCAACACACATCTAGTGACAAAAAACCGCGGATACTTTTTAGATGATTCAATATTTATATCCCAGAGCTCTGATTGGATGGCTCGTTCCTTGTTGCCTGTGCCTATTGCCTGTGCCTATTGTGTTTAAGCCTTAAACCGTTCGGAAATACTCGTGCGTACTCGGTATGTACTAATATGAGATCGTTCGGAAACGTCGAGAGAGTCACACCGAGTGCCACTAAACTACCCGTGCAAAAAGCAAGGGGAGCGGTGTGAGTCGGTGTGTTATGGCCACAGCACAGACTTGCATAACGCATAATACATAAGGGAATTGATTAATCGAAATTCTTCTTTTACTTCTTGGAATAGAAGAAAAGGACAATTTTCTTTTTATATTGCTTTCTTTTTATATTGCTCTGCCTTTAATAATATTTTTCGCACATTATATTGGGTCATCTATTATATTGGGTCATCTAAAAAGTATCCGCGGTTTTTTGTCACTAGATGATGTTGATGGTCAACACATCTAATGACAAAAAACCGCGGATACTTTTTAGATGACCCAATATAATAGATTATTTGTATTATTCTTGAAACTGTATTATTCTTCAGACAGGTGCTTTCTATATAACTGTTATGTGTTTCACGGGTTTTCTACATCCATTCTTGGAATGCCAATGTTTCGTGAACCCTATTCGTGATACTGTATCAGGCTGCTCCTCGTCCTGATGAAGTGGACTGCAAGGCGAAACGTTGGCATTCCAAGAATGGATCTAGACACGAGAAAACCCGCAAAACACATAACAATTAGATTATTTGTATAAATATTGTAAAATTGTATGTGTCCAGTATTTAGAACAAAACTAACTGTTCTAAGATCGACAATAAGCCTCACAGGAACTAATAGATCTTTGGACGATGAAGCAACATCCAGCATCTAATGTTTTATATTACTGGTGTCAATTTTCTTTAAGGATTTACAATAATACGACCAGTTACAATCAGAATATGGTTAGTTATCAACCCTGTTATACTGATTCTACAATGAATCGATAGTCGGAAGTCTTAGTCGATAAAATTGACCAATAACCAACTTGACTAGAGAAGACTAACGCTGATTGATCAAATTCATCGATTAAGATTAATAGACTTTCTACAATGAGCCATAAGTCAGAAATCAGAAGTCAGAAACTTGATTACTGTGATTGGTTCATTTCTAACTTGTGACTTATAATATATGATCTATGGCTTATTGTAGAATAGAATTATGTGATGTAGATAAGGGTGAAATCATACGGTCTGGAATAGGATTGTGGAATACAGAATGCTTTTGTAATAAACCGTCGTATTTTAAGAGGTTAAAATAATTTGATGCTGATTGATATGATGGAATTGCATAATGTCGAGACGAATGAAGCAGAATGACAAAATCTGAGTGCATAAATATACAATAGATACCAATAAAAAAAACAATGATGCATTACGTACGATTTCAATGTGTCCTTTTCCGTACTTTTCCATCACCAATTTTGTGTGCTATGTTCACACGATGAGAAAAAATGATAGTAAATGTATTAAAGCAGTTCAAAAAATTGTCACGAAATTGTAAATATTAATTGTAAAACATTAAATACTACAACAGTGATAATTGTTTTTACAATTTGAAAAATTATATTTTATTTTAATAAGCAAATTAGTAACATGAAGTTAGTAGTTTTTAAATTATATTCATTGTTGAATATATCTTTGACGCACCATGTGAACATAGCACTCAAAACTTGCATGATGGAAAAGTGCGGAATAGCGTTGATTGGTTTCTTCAATGACGCATTCGCTATTCTGCAACATCAAATGCAGAATGATTGTTTCAATGACGCATTCTCTATTCCGCAATCCTATTCCGCACTGTGTGATTTCAACACCCAGAACAAAGAATAAGAATTTCAACCTATCAGAAAGCATTATGGAATACACAGTTTCTGATAGGTTGAAATTCTTATTCTCTGTTTTCTGTCCTCTGTTCCTTTTATTATACGGAGCCCCTAAGACTACCGACTCATTGTAAAATCAGCATTATATTAACTTGAATTTTCACGATGAAAAATTTTATCATTATCTAAAGTCGATACAACAACATACAATTATCCGATACGATACGTCGGTAATCATGGAAGGAATGACTTATATTCCTTTTTTTTTACAATCATATACTGCCGTCGTTCCTCTTTACAATCATTCTTCCGTCTTTCTTCAACCGGTGAATTGTTTAGCTTGAGATTATAGGGTTAAACATGAGCGGTGAGATGAAATTGAGATGACACACACGCCACACGGAAGCTGTTCAGGAACACTTACCACCCAAAGACACACGATATCCCCACTACTTTTTCATTAAAGTCACCGAAACACACCAACGAGTGATGTTCCGAATGCAACTTAGATGCATGATCCAGAAGCATGATCGCTCAATTGCTTGTTTTCTGTTCCTGCACTAGAACTGCTGTAGAACTCTCTCTCTCGCTTTCGACAAATATCAAACGTATAACTATCTCTCACTTTAAGCTCTAAAAGTGTAGTGACTAGTTCAACTACAGAAAACAGACCTGAAGATTGCATTCAGTACTATGATCGCTCACTGAGCACTTAGTAAGCTCTTGTATATGTTTAATTCTAACAGAATATGCCAATCAGATGCAAGAGCTCACTGAGCGCTCAGTGAGCGGTCGTGCTTCTGAATGCACCCACTAAAGAGATTCCACTAATAAAAATAAACCGATTTTTCGTTTCGAATTAAATTTCGATTCTCGACACTCGCGGCACTTGTAAACCTGCACATTATGGATAGAGACCTCAGAGCCCCTATTCTTGAAAAGTATCGCATAAGAAAAATTAGGGAAATATTATACAATAGAATGCGTTACTTATACTATAGCTTTCTCTAGTTTTTTGTATGCGATACTTTTCAAGAATAAGGGTGCGATTACATATAGCGATACGCGGTACAGAAACTAACTAGGTAACTGTAAGAACCACGCAAACCGTACCACTTGCTTCTTTTCCCTTCTATTACATATATAGCACGGTAAGCGGCACAGGCTAATAAACTTTAATATGAATTTTTAAAAATATATTAACTTATTTCTATGCACATTTCATCACTTTTATTTTTTCAATGGATTTACTTAATAATTGCATTTAAATCAATTAATTCTATTAAAAAGTGCTTAGTAACATGAATTTGTCACTGACCTGTGCCGCTTATCGCGTACATGTAATAGAGGAGAAAAGAAGCAAGCGGCACAGTTTGCGTGGTTTCTATAATTATCTAGTTAGTTTCTGTACCGCGTACCACGTATCGCACTACATGTAATCGCATCCTGAGGCTGTATTCAGATTCCTCACCGGGTGGGTGATCGCTGGGTGACTGGGTAAGTGGGCGGAGCCTAGCGAAAAGTACCGGAGTAGTTTGGGAATCTGAACGCACTCTAAGACAAGAGTGTCCTACAGACAGTTACAGGGAATAGTAACGTAAATATTTGGTCATCTAAAAAGTATCCGCGATTTTTTGTCACTGGATGGTGTTGATGGTCAACACATTTTTAGATGACCCAATATATTAGATTTATTATGAATTACATATAATTAGCAAAAGGTAGTATAAAAGAAGGGCAAAGAGTCAATGACGTATATAAAAAATTATAATTCAGATAAAAAACTTAATACAAAAACAATTAAAATACAATAAAATAAAACAAACGTTTCAACTCCAATTGAGTCATTTTCAATGCCATCATACGATAATATAAATGTCGTTCTAAATTAAAAATTAATACATAATCTTACAATATTCTTAAAATTAACAAAAAATTCTTTCCTCTTTCTGTGTAATACGCTGTGAGTCATTTTTATCAAGAATTAGCAAAGTCATAAGAAAGTTCTTAGTAAATCTGTTAAAAATCCCATAATACACAACGAGAAAAAAATGTAAAATGTGGTCCATTTTGTGTACAGTAAAAAAGTCTTTTTTATTTTATAGGTTATTAAAGCAAATTCGCAAAAGTAACGAGCATCTGACTTAAACGATGTCACACAACGAAAATGATATAATTATATATAACTAAAATATATGTATATAATAATGATAAAAGATATAAGATAAATATCTTACCAATATCTAAGTCCCGACCTGTAAAACTTAATAGATGATTAACTACTTGGCTTCCTTTAAGTTAGAATAAAATCATGGTGCGGAAAAGGACTGCGGAATAGAGAATGCGTTATTGAAACAACCAATTAGCGCTATTCGGAATAACGCTGATTGGTTGCTTCTATGACGCATTCTTTATTCCGCAGTCGTTTTCGGCGTGATTTCACCCTTATGGTTTATACTGTTTATAACAGGCATAACTTGAAATTTAAATTTTCGTATAGATACACGTCAAATATGCTGGGATAGCAGGAAGTTTTTAATGCGCCACTACTACCCATTCCATCTGGCTCAAGAAACCAGGTGGTTTTTCCAGCTTTCTGAGTGGATAGAGTAGGAATCTGAACGTTCTACCTAAACGCCTAATAAAGGCACTTAAAAGGAATCTGAACACTTTCTGAGTGTCTGGGTGCACTCGGGTGGGGAATCTGAACGCAGCCTGAAGTACAATATACTGTATTTGACACTAACGCCATCATTGCGTTGGTACTGATTTTTTGCGATATGATTAGTTACGATAATAGTGACCTCTGACAGACTGAGCATCATTTTGTATAACACTGCTCTCCTGCTATTCACTTGGTCAACCAGAGAAGCAGTGTTGACAACTTAGCTATTTTCTGGCTAGATCTAGCTATTTTTTCTTCGATCTAGCTCGCAAAAATTGACTTAGCTATTAGCTATTAGCTATTTTTCTAGATATTTCTATGAAGATAATATAGAGCTAGCTATTTCTTATGATTTTGATTCTTGAAATTTTTTATTAGATATCGATCATCGTATGTTAAAATTTTCCAACGTAGCGAACATACCCAGAAAGATAAGCAATGAGAGCCTAGAGATGGCGGGCCAACCTACACTTTTCTACACTTATATTTTCAAGGACTCCTTTGACAAAAAGTACAGTACTTGAGGTTATGTATTGTATTGGATCATCTAAAAAGTATCCGCGGTTTTTTGTCACTAGATGTGTTGACCATCAAAAAACCGCGGATACTTTTTAGATGACCCAATATTTTCTATTATATGAACTAGAATTTTTTAAGTCCTGAGGAACTTTATATTGTATCTCGACATTATCATTTATCAAGAGCGCGCATATTTGTATTCTTCTCTTCTGGCATTCAACAGAATACATAGAGTATATATAGACTATAGATAAGTATAATAAGGTGTAATTGTAAAATATTGTTGTTACAACTTTAACACTAATTGCTTTACAATAATTGTTTTATTAATTAAAAGTAATATAAAAGGGTCTGTAGTAATAAGTAAAAGGTAGTATAAAAGAAGGGCAAAGAGCCAATGACGTATATAAAAAATTATAATTCAGATAAAAAACTTAATACAAAAACAATTAAAATACAATAAAATAAAACAAACGTTTCAACTCCAATTGAGTCATTTTCAATGCTATCATACGATAATATAAATATCGTTCTAAATTAAAAATTAATACATAATCTTATAATATTCTTAAAATTAATAAAAAATTCTTTCCTCTTTCTGTGTAATACGCTGTGAGTCATTTTTATCAAGAATTAGCAAAGTCATAAGAAAGTTCTTAGTAAATCTGTTAAAAGTCCCATAATACACAACGAGAAAAAAATGTAAAATGTGGTCCATTTTGTGGTACAGTAAAAAAGTCTTTTTTATTTTATAGGTTATTAAAGCAAATTCGCAAAAGTAACGAGCATCTGACTTAAACGATATCACACAACGAAAATCTTGTTTTAAAACGATGTTTTATTAATGTTTGGAAAAAGTACGACAGTACACCAAAAATTTAGAAAAGAATGATTGAAGCAAAATATTTTTGCAAATTGGCTTTTGGAATGTCCTGCCGATAAAACGAAAGTTCTTTGCAAATATTGCAAATGCGAAATCAAAGCAAAATTATACGACTTAATGCATCATGCAAAGACGAAGAAACATATCAAAACTATAGAACCATTTTCGTCATTTACATTCCATCAGGCAACATTGGATGTCAAAATAAAGATCCTAAAAGAATGCATATTATATCTACACTTTCAGTAGAATTTACTGAAATCAATCCAGTCAGGTTTTCATAAATATAGCTTATTTTTAGACGAACCTACTGATATAACTGTGAAAAAACTTTTAGCTGTTGGCATTAACTATTTTGATACTGATAAAGGAAAAATCATATCTATATTTTTGATATCAACATTAACAGAATTACTTTCATGTGATGTAGAAAATCTGTTACATTTAAAGAAACATTAAATAATTTCGGATTATTTTTAGAAAACTTAATGTGGTATTGCAACTGATTGTAGTACTATAATTGTAGTACTATAATTGGGATAAATAACGGTCTTTACAAAAGTTGAAAAAAGATGTTTTAAATTTAATTTTAATTAAATGTATTTGTCATTCGTTACAATTAGCAGTATCTCATGCAACAAATGATATATTACCTCCTCCAAATGATACATTACTGTATTTTAGAATATTTAGTTTCTGAAACTTATAACTGGTTTTCATGGTCATCTGCTAGAAAATATCAATATGATAAATTATATAAAACTCTTAATGAAGGAAAAGAACCAAAGAAAATTGTACAGGCTGCTAATACAAGATGGCTTTCAATTCTGAATCTGCATTATCCTTGATTTTAGATCAATATGTGGAACTAAAAACTCACTTTGAAATTACACGCATTTCAGAAAAATGCTATAATGCAGAGCTTTTATATAATATGCATAAAGATAAGACAAATTTATTATATTTATTATTTTTAAAATCTATTTTACAAAACATTCAACAAGTTAATAAAGCATTTAAAGCTAATAATGTAGATCCTCTAAAATTATTAAGGATCTTACCTTACTCATTAATAGTATTAGTAAAATGATAATACTTCCATCTTATAAAATAGATTCTATAAAAAATGATATTGAACCATTTCTAGATAATAATCCCTATTTAGGTTTTGGATTTGAGAATAAAATTAAATGTCTCAAAGAAGAAAAGAAAATTATTATCGAAAAAGAAACAAATATAAAATTTAGATGTAAAACCTTTTTATATAAACAAATAAAATAGATTACCTGATAATACTAACATTATGGAAAAAATTAATTTATTTTCAGTTGAAAATGTATTTAAACATAACAACTATCAATTACTTGTTTATTAACTGAAATGAATATCGATCCTTTACAGATTTCAGATAGAAATCGAATATAAAATTCACTTGATTAAATGGAATAACACACACCATACTGTACATTTTTGGGGAGAAGTTTATAAATATCGAGATGCTGTAAGGGAAAATCCTTTTAAAAACGTTGCAGAGATTATTATTTTTGGTACTTTGTGTCAAATGCAGAAGTTGAACATATCTTCAGCCAACTAAACCTTAGTAAAAAATAAAGTAAGAAATAAGTTAAGCCTTAATATGATAAATTCAATACTTTGTACACACTATGGCTTAAGAAGGCACGAAAAATGCTGCTGTGATTATGAATTACCGGAAAATATATTAAGATGAATTGATACTAACGACTTATCCCCAAAAATATGAGAATTTTAATTTAAACGATTTAGTATTCCACAAATGTTTTACTCAATTTAATTTAATCGATGTTTTAATTACATTATATTTTATTATATTATATATGTTTCTAAATGTGTTACTCATTACGATAATATATAATATATTACTTTGTTTATTTTATGATAATATCTATGCTCATGTGCAATTATAAGAACTTTTTCTATCAAATAAATTAGTATTTCTAATTATAATCATATTTTAAATATATATTTTCCTTAATTTTTAAAATCTATTATTTGGTTATTTTCCTTAATTTTTAAAATCTAACAATTATTTAGTTATTTCTGAAGTGTCGTCTAGCTTTTCTTTTTTTCGAGAGTTGGCAACACTGCAGACAAGGCTTATGAGGATTTAGTACAGGAGATCAAACATGGCATAGAGTTTGCTGCTCCCAACAAAGCTAAGCAACCGCGACAACGCTTCTTAGATGATCGGCGTAAACAGCCCCTTGATGGAACAATACTTGTTGCGATGCTGTTACAACGAGAAAACTTGCCACTGCGGAATATAAGCGCAATCTATCCTGGGAAAGTTATCTAGCTTATAAAAAACAATGCACCCACCAAAATTCTACACAGAGAAAAAAGACTTGGCTGGAAAAAATTCTGTAGTAGCTTTAACCATCGTACTCCTTCGGCTAGATTATGGTCCTTCGTCAACTCTTTTAAAAACAAAGACCTAAAGCAATGTATCACAGATCAACTTTTTTGATTTTGAGACTACTTGTCGCGATCAACAAGTTATGCCCTCCTTCTTGCCTACAATACAATTACCATTCTCTCCCGGATATGTTGACTGAAGACCGTAATAATCCTTCTAATCTCATCGTAGAAATGGATATTCCGATTTCAAGGGCCGAGATGGATATCACTATCAAGAAGTCAAAAATCGCTTCTGCCCCTGGTCTTGACCAAATCAGCAATCGTATCATTTCTATTCTTCCTGACCACTTCAAGGACGCCCTGGTGGAAATTTACAACGACTTTCTAAACATGGGTATTGTTCCATCTGATTGGAAGAAATCCTTGTTGTCCCTAAACCTTCCGGCAAGGGCGTCAGACCGATCTCACTACTTTCTTGTCTTTTCAAGACTATAGAAAGGATCATATACAACAGATTAAGATGGTATGTCGAGTCATATCTCATTCTTTCTGAATTTCAGTTCGGCTTTCGCCCAACTCGTTCGTGTGCGGATAATCTCATCACATTTTCTAATCGTATTCATGCTACTAACATTGCTGGCCTTTTTACTGTTTGCGTCTTTATCGACATAGCTGACGCGTTTAACAATGTTCAGCCTTCAATCCTTATAGAAACGCTAAGGGGTCTTGGTGTCCCTGCCAAGATGCAAATTTATCCAAAATTTGGTTATGGAAAGAGAACTCTATTTCATTAGGAATGGTAAGCTCAATAATCCTCTTACGAGGATTACAAGGGCACGCCTCAGAGTTCATCCTTCAGTCCAATTCTGTTTAATTTTTATCTATACGATATTGGAAACTGCCTAAGAAGTGGGTTTA